CTCTTCCTCTTTCTTTCTCCCCTCTCCTCCCGCTTCCACCTTCCCTCCATCCCTCTCCTCTTGCGCGTCCTGACCTACTTTCATTCCGGCATTTTTACACAAAGATCGGTTTTCGATGTCATCCTTTTTCCCCTTCTTTCCTGACCTGAACTCTCATGGCAGAGGAAGTGTGATATTGGATATCAGTACCGAGTCTGACAGCTCTATGTGGGAGGCTCTAATCATTACCGGGACTCTACGGAAAATTCAAAGCGACGCAGCTCACCCGCGGCCATGCTGATGCTGGTGATTTCATATTCATATGTTTAAACCCACGCGCATTCAGTCACTGGTACACGTTTGCACACAGGATCACAGGGGCGTACATAAACTTATATCTCTCTCTCTCATATCATGTACCTATAAATAAATATCTGAATGTATTAACACACACACAACACACACACACACACACACACACACACAACACACACACAAACAACACACACACACACACACCACACACCCACCAGACACACACACAACACACACACACACACGCGAGCATGCGTGTGCGTAATCCGTTTGACTTCTGCATTTAACCTGCTTCATCAGCGCAATAACACAGCCTCATTTCCACGCAACACAGGACCCACAACATCATCATCTTTCATCTCAGTTAGCGTCAGGCGGGAGTGCAACCGCGGAGACGCCTGCTCAGCGCCACCTTGTGGTTAGCGCCGCCCCACGCCCTCTCCGGTGGCAACGAGGCCTCGGCGCTCGCGGGGGGCGTGCTGCCCTCGGGTTCGCGGCGAGGGAAGCGAGGTGAGCGTTCACTTCACTGCCTCGTGTGGCAGTGAAGCCTTCCCTGCGCGCATCAGGCGATGGTCTTTGTTTACAGCTGACAGCTGACGCATTCGCTCTTCGAATTTGTTGGGTTAAATGTAATTCTGAGTAAAGATACGAAGCACGAGAGTAAAAATGTCAGCTGCCTATTTGTTCACATCCAGGGGGAGATATTGTATATACCTCCCTCCCTCCTCCCCCTCTTTCTCTCTCTCTCTCTCTCTCTTCCTTTTTTTCTAGAGAACCTCGCCCCTCCTGCCAAAGAGAGCTTGCATTTTCTTGTCGAGTTTCGCCACACAAGCAACGGCCCAACTTAGAATGAAAATAAAGCCTAAATGAAGAAGGAAGCATGAACTCACAAAAAGGAAAAAAAGGAAACTAGGTTTGTGCAACATTTTCTTTGAATTATTTCCCTTAACTTTTGTTTCATAATTACATTTATTTCACTAGTTTCTTCTTACCACATTTTTGTCGTGCTCCTCTCTCCCATTTCCTCACTCCCTATCCCACTCCTCTTCCCCCTCCCCCTTCCTTTCCCCTCACTCCTTCCTATGCCTTCTTACCTTCCTCTCCTTCTTCCCACCCCCTTCCCGCTCCCTCTTTCCCACTCGCTATGCTTATTTCCCACTGGAGAGAAATGACGAGCTCTCGCCACGGTAAATGAGGCGGGTTCAATTTTTGTGGGGGCGGTGCTTGATTTTGCCTACGGGTGGGCGTGGGGGTGGGGGTGGGCTGGGGTTTGAGGACGAGGTATGGTCTTGACATACTTATGGTCTTCATCATTATATCAGTGTATCGCTTTTATTCTCTCTCATCTCTGTCTCTCTATTTTGTCTTCTCTTTCTCTTCTTTTTCTTTCTCTCCCCCCACCCCCACCCTCATCTCTCTTCCTCTCTTCTCTCTCTCTCTCTCTCTCTCTCTCTCTCTCTCTCTCTCTCTCTCTCTCTCTCTCTCTCTCTAGCACAAACACACACTCTATCAAAACTACACACTCACACATGCGCATATTTGTATCAAAGAGAGGACGCAGGTCTTACATGAGAAGGGAATCCTGCAGCTGAAGTCGCCAAGAAGAATAAATCAATGATCCCCGACATTTCTGCACCCTAGTTACCTCCTTATAAATTTTCCAATTCCCGTCCTCCTCCTTTCGCCTTTTTTTCTATTTTCGTCTGACTTAATTCGGTCCTTCTTCTCCCTGTTTCTTTACTATTCTCCTCCCATCCAATTTCCACTTTTTCACCTCAAAATCTCTAACCAGTTCCCGCTCTCCTCTAGAATCTCTCATCTTTATTTTTACTATTTTTGCTCTTTTTTTCTTTCTTCCTCTTTTTCTTCTTCTTTTTTTTTACTTCATTTTCTCAGAATCTACACGGGAATCTCCTTCAACTTTCTTGTTATCTTTCCCCTTCCCTTTCCCCCTCTCTTCGCAGCGTAGTGTTTCCCTTCCGTACTCTGCGCCGCCAACTTTCACGTAACTCGGGAAGAACAACCTGCCTTCACCTTCCTGGACATCGCTAATGAATATGAAATAAAGACACCGAGTGACTTCGAGCGCGCGGAGGAGAAAAACAAAGTATTGTGGTTTCAGTCTCTGGATTTTTAGCGCTGTAAACTCGAGAATAAATAACACAACCCTTGGGATAATTCGGTTACGAAGTTGTGCACACACTTG